TGTGTGTGGAGGGTGTGTATTGTGTGGTGTGTTGTGGTGTGTGTATGGTGTGTGTAGTGTGCATGTGTGTAGTGTGTGTGGTGTGTGTGTGGTGTGTATGTAGTGTGTGTGTAGTGTGTCGTGTGTGTGTGGTGTTTGTATGGTATGTGTGATGTGTGTGTGGTGTGTGTGGTGTGTGTAGTGTGTGGTGTGTGTGTGGTGTGTGTGTGTGGTGTGTGTAGTGTGTGTGTGTAGTGTGTGTGGTTTGGGTGTGTGTGTAGTGTGTGTGGTGTGTGTGTAGTGTGTGTGGTATGTGTGTAGTGTGTGGTGTGTGTGGTGTGGTGTGTGGTATGTGTGTGTGTGGTGGGTGTGTTTGTGGTGTCTGTGTGTAGTATGTGCATGAGTGTGTAGTGTTTGTGTTTGTGATGTGTGTGATGTGTGTGTGGTATGTGTGTAGTGTATGTGTAGTGTGTGTGGTGTGTGTGTGGTGTATGTATGTGGTGTGTGTGTGGTGTATGTGTGTAGTGTGTAGTGTCTGTGTGGTGTGTGTGTGTGTGTGTGTGTGGTATGTATGTGTGTGTGTGAGATCATAGGGCAGGAAGTCCACTTGGCAGCACTTGTATAATCTGGACACATCAGAATGGAGTCTGGGGATGAGCAACTAGTGCCCACCATTTCCTCTCATCTCCTGAAGAGCCAGCTAAAACTTAGGACAGTGGTTCTCAAAGTGAACAACTTTATTGGTAGAAAGAAAATAGTTACTTTTAAAAGATTTCATCCTGGATTAAACCTCAACTTTCTCATCAAGTTGGTATAGAGAAGTACAATTCACTTTCAAATGAAACCATGGGGGGAAGAAAGGCCTTAATCAAAGGATAGTACCTGTATGTGTAGCATCACCTGGGAATTTGTGGAACATGCAGGTTATTGGGCCCCAAACTACTGAATCAGAAACTCTGGGAGTTGACTCCAACCATCTATCTTTGAACTAATCTCTATGTTAGTCTCATGCATGTTAAAGTTTGGGAACCAATGAAATGTTGAGTACAGATAAGAAACCAGGTGTTAGGGTCTGGATATGAGGTCACCCCAAAGTCTCCTGTGCTAATGCAGAAATAGTCAGAGGTAAAACGATTAAACTGTGGGAGCTGGAACCTGATCAGCTCATCCTAGTTTGGATGGATGGACTGGGTGGTACCTGGCGGCAGGTGGAGAGAGCTGCAGGAGGTGGGTCACTGGGGCATTCCCTGGAAGGATGCATCTTCCTTGTGGTCCCTTCCCTCATTTTGTTTCTCTACTTCCCAGCTGCCACGATGGGAGCAGCTGCCCCCTGTCCTGTCCTTCCCCCATGATGTGCTGCCTCACCTGGGCCCAGAGCAATGGAGCCTGGCATCTCGAAATGGTACCTCTCATACCACGAGCCACTTTGCCGCCTCTAAGTTGTTCTTGTCCGGTGTTTTGGTCACAGTGATGTACACTGACTAATATACCAGGCAATTGTTATCATGTTCCTTCTGTGATGGGATAACTATAGAGTGCATTAGAGTAAGGAAAAGGAAATTACCCCAAGCCTATGCATGGGAGACAGCAAAACACAAAGCAAAAGAGAGGAAATGACATATGTTTGCATTTCCTAATTATGTATTCCCTTTTTTTAAAATTTTTTTGACAAAAAATATGTGTGTATATGTATGTTTATTTACATATGCATGGTATATCAGAAGGATAAGATAGGAAAGTGAGAAAAATCAGAGCACATAAATATAAGGGTACAAAAATGCACACATGGATATATCCTACAAGTTTAATTTCCATATGCACAGTGGCCAACAAAGAGAAACAGGAATCAGGAAAGCAAACAAAGTATTTAGAAGAGACACAGTTTTTCCTAGTAACGATAAAAATTTCTTTCACTGAAACTTACAATGAGAACATTTTAAATAGGGAATGACAGCTTTGACAATCTTCATCTAATAAACTTGTCATAAGTCGCTCACTGGCCTGGACCACCAAGGACTGGCAGAGTGCAGGATTAAGGGCTACCATAGAAATGTAGAGATACATCTGGATAAATGCTTGGAAGGATGGCTTCTCTAGCTCCCAAACTCCCAAGATACTCAATATTTTGGGAAAAAGGAATGTCAAGGAAACAAATGTTCGTATCCACTGTCAGCCTGCGCTTTTTCTTGATGTTTAAATAGCTCCAGATTGATCCTTCCTTGTGCTATCAATTTTCCATGATGATATAAAAAACTTGTGCTTTTTTTTTTTTTCTGTGTGTCTGTGTGTGCGTGCACGCACACGCCAGGATTGAATTCAGGGGCACTTAATCACTGAGCCATATCCCCAGCCCTTTTGTATTTTATTTAGAGACAGAATCTCACTGAGTTGCGTAAGGCCTCACTAAGTTGCTGATTCTGGTTTTGAACTTGTGATCCTCCTGCCTCAGTTTCCGGAGTTGCTTGGATTACAGGCATGCATCACAGTGCCCAGCCAACTTGTGCATTCTTGCAAGGATATGTTATGAGCAACTCAGTGGACAGTCATTAGTGTTGAGGAAGTTCAACAAACACACATATACATATCTGAGCACTTGAAAATGCTAATGATACAGTTGAAGTTACCCCTTCCATCTAGCAAATATCAGAGTAAGTTGGTTTCATCTTCCGGGAAACTGCAGCAGAATCTGATAGGCTTAAAATGAAATGTCTGAATATGTACACTTGCACAATATATGAAGTATACAAGAAATGATATCAAGTAATTTCACACACTTAAAGTTCAGACAATACAAGATACTCCTGATATTGTCATATGTGGGGGGGAGGGAAGCAGCCTCCTCATAATACTCCTCTGTCCCTACAATAAGAAAACTATTTTGAAATTTTAGCAAGAAACTCTTGCTCATAGAGTTAACATCTGTAAATTTATGTCTACTAAAATGTCAATAACAGTATCCTTTGGTTTCCAGTTACCATGTTTTAAAGATTGTCTCTGAAGCTAGACAGGAAGAGAATAGGATAGCAATTCAACAATTACTGATGATAAATTATTGCAAATCAGGTGCAGTGGTGCACATTTGTAACCCTAGCCACTTGGGAGGCTGGGGCAGAAAATTCAGAACTTTGAGGCCAGCCTCCACATCCTTCAACTTTGTGAGATCCCTGTCTCAAAATTAAAAAAAAAAAAAAAAAAAAAAACTGCATTTCTCCAAATTGTTCATATATATATAAATCTATCAAATTTATTCATGAATTTTTTTTAACTTACTGGAGAATGAGATAAAAAGAAATGAAAAGCAATTTAACATTTTTAAATCTTTGTTTATTTAATATTATATTGATTCGTATGCTAGTTTCTTATTGTGAAAAAGCTAAAAGTAGAGAAAACTACTATTTTAGTTTGAACTTAATTATCTAGTTAGATAATCACTATCTTGATTTTCCTGTGTTTCTTTTAAGACTTTTCTATGAATTTAATTTTTAATTAAGTGTATACTATGTTTTCAGTTATTTCTTTCAAGGACAAATTAGAAATTCATATACTTAGTTTTATATATATATTAGTTGTAGACAGACACAATTCCTTTATTTTATTTACTTTTTTTTTAATGTGGTGCTGAGGATCGAACTCAGTGCCTCACTCAGGATAGGCACGTGCTCTATCACTGAGCCACAATCCCAGTTCATACTTAGCTTTTGAAGAACAGAGACTATCAGGAAAAAAAAAAAAGTGCTTT